ATTAAAAACGCATTTTTATTTTATATAAAAACAGTTATCAAATAATGGAAATAACACAAAACATCCGAAATGAAACGAGGCACAAGTCCGACCCGTTCGAGTGGTTTCACAGATTAGGTTAAATGACATGTTCACTTGTCCTAAATTCGTGCCACTAAATGTTGAGGCATATAAATCCAACTGTTTTAACTGCCATCTTATGATCTAAGTGCTCTCTGGGTTAATTTAGAGCATGTGAACAAACCTCATAATGAAAGCCCAGATCCTCATACGGGCAACAGCGCTTTGACACCAAACGCTGATTGATAAAAAGTTGATTGTGGGGGTAAAATTTATCTCCATCATCTGTTTTTCACCAATCAGCGTTCGATGTTAAAGCGCTGTTGCCCATATGAGGATCCTGGCTTAACCAAGTTAAGAATACATGATGATTGATCACGGACTATTGCTGGATTTACACTGGATCCGACGTACATCGTACGACGCTTTATAACCAATCAGAAAACAGGATTTTGCTTCGTTTATCATCGATACGAAATAAAATTCTGTTCTTTGATTGGTTGCAGAACGTTATACAACACAGAACGTTATATATGCACATCAGATCCAGTTTGAATCCAGCATATGTTTACACCACGGAGTAATAAGAAGGAGACTAAACTTGAATTCTGAAAATAGGCTCGAAACACGATGTCGGAAAACTCATGGAAAGTCGGGCGATGTGATTTTAGTGCCATCACGCCTTGTGGGAAAAGTTGGAAGTATTGACAGTTACGTGATCACAGGCTTTATGCCAATATTTATAGTCAGACCTTGTACTTAAGGCTTCCTTAAATTTATCTTTAGATGCTCAGTAGCCAATGAAATAATTCATAGAATATCTGGTGTTAGAGCATGAAGGCTTAAGGCTCAAACACAATAGGCGTAGGCAATGAGCACAGGCAACAGGGAATAACAAGTCAGTTCTGGGATATAATATCAAACTTATACACCAGAGCTCTGATTGGACAGTTCGTTATTTACTGTTGCCTATGCCTATTGCCTGTGCCTATTTTATTTAAGCCTTTATAGACACGAAGGGAGCATTGTGATTCAGGATATCAATTATGAAACTTTTTTCCTAGGATGAAAAATGAAAAGTGAAAAATTTCTCTATTAACTTCAATGGTTAAACTTTTCTAGAGATAAAGTTTCATGATTAATAACCAGGGTATTAACTAGGGGAATACTCTACTGTAGTTGGTTGGTTCTTACTTTCTGATTCGGATTAAATTTTCGGTGGAAACTAGGCCTGTGTCGAGCAGTGTAACACTATGTCATAGACTATGTCATAATTGAAATACTTGTGTAAGACACATGCTGGATTCACACTGGATCCGACGTGTGTCATATGACATTCTGCAACTCGTCAGAAAGCAGAATTTTATTTAGTATCGATGATACGAAGCAAAATCTTGTTTTCTCTAGTGTGAATCTAGCAATTGTGTTACCTGTGTATGTACGCTGTTGGAAAACACTCAATAATTATACTGTAACGTAACATACTATACTAACTATAGTGTCTACAACGTTGGTACATGCGTATAGAGGACGAAAATTCCATGTAATCTTTCTCTCTCACACGCATCTTGGACACATATTTGGGTCACAGGAGGTATAGGTAATGCTCCCTCTATATGCCTCTATCCCTTTATATGCTGTAAGCTCGCTACAGATTACAAAGATTAGGTTCGATATTTCTTGACGCTAGAAAACAAGCGTTTCAGCGTCGCATGAAAAGGCACCCTAAAATGTGGTCACGGTCCTCCGGCGCCATATTGCTTTAATCCAGCGGTTGACGTCAGCGGGCGCGTCTGTGAACTGTAAAGACAGATAGACGGAGATAGCGCAAGTTTGAAAGAGAGGGAAGAAAGGCGTGCACGATCCGCATCCGCGACGGCACTGACGGCAGTGCACGACAGTGCAGTTGCATGGTTTGTACGGTTGTAGTGGGTGCAGTTGTCGATGAACGTGAGAGACGTAGGACATGGTATATACGGGATCGGCTCGATTCATGGTTCGCCTCGGTTCCCGCATCCTTTATATGACGATACCAATCATATAATGGATTATCAATAATTCAACAGCCGCGTTATACACTTGACGTCTTTTTTTGGCGTTAAATCACGTAAAATCGAGAGATACGCACTACGTCAAATTCGGCAGTCGGCACACCCTTCGCTTCGCGTTCGCGTCGTGTGCGAGCAAAAAAGCCGCGAGTTGATGAGGGAAGGAAGGTGGGAGGGAGAGAGAACGAAACGCGATGGAGGCGCGACGCTGTCCGGTTTGACCGCTAGACGGCCTCCTTCGGCGTGGCGTATTCTTGGTCTCCTTGATTCGACAGGCTGCTAGGCTTGCTCCTTTGATTCTCAGTGTGTTTCATGCGCGCCATGTGCTGCACCGTTGCCGCTCTACCCTGTAAGATAGTCCTCGCGCGTAAAGCCGCGGTTCGATAAGCGTTCACGTAACCGCCGTGCGTTTAGCCAGGATTCCTCCCTCCTCCTCCTGCCTTCCCTTCCGTTCTCTTCTCTCCCCTTCCCTTCCCTTCCCTTCCCTTCCCTTTCCTTTGATTGATCTATACGCTGCTCTCTCGATGCTCGTCGATGCTCCTCGTTGCTCCTCGTGTCTCCGTAGTTCTGGTGTAAACGGTGCAAAGCTGCGTTATTTCTTCGCTCTTTCCTTTCCCCGCCCTTATATGTTCGTCTGGCTCGTAAGCGGCGAACCGTAGGGAAAGGAGGTAAGGTTTCCAAAGGGAAAAGAGAGAAAGAGAAAGGAGGTGATAAGTAGTCACAGGAAAAAGGAGCACAAAAACGACGAGTGTTGGAATCGTTGAATCGGTGTTCTCGGAGTGAGCTCCAACGAGCGAAAGACACAACGGGAGGTAGCGCAAGTGGCGTATCAAGATGGCGCATAATTTGGCACCGAGCGTCAACTGCTCGCTCGACGACATTGACCTGAACGCTCTGAAGGTGCGTATACGTTATAGATATGAAAATGATTCGCTGCCGGCTGCGTGCGTTTCTCCTTTTCTTCTCTTGTCTGC